CGCCCGCCGGTGACCCCCGTGCGCCAGCCGCCCCGCGGCGTGGGCTCCCGGAGGGCGGAACCCGGCCCCTCTGGGCTCGCCGGCCAGGCAGGGCAGAGCCCGCGACGTGGGGCTTTTCCCTGCGTTCTCACGTCACTTGCCGCGGACTCGCGAGGCTGCGGGACCGTGGGGGGCAGGCGCGCAGCCGGGCCGGTGTCCGGGAGGGAATTCCCTCTCCGCGCTTCGTGTGCGAAACCCGGCGTGAGGCCGCCTGGGCCGCGATCCCGGTGCCATCCCATCTCTCCCTTCGTTAGGAAAGAGAGAACCCGCGGCCCCGTGAACGCTGCCGCCGCAGGGACGGCGGGGTCAAGCAACAGCACGACCCCACGTCCGAGGAAGGCAGGCGTCATTAGTTGCGGTGCTCGTGAAATTCGTTCTGACGTGGAAGTACCCGGAGCTGCTATTAAATTGTATGTTTCCCGGGCAAGGTCTTAATTAGGCAAAGATTTGAATGTGTATTTGGGTTTATATCAATGGCCTCATTTAGTAAAGGCGCTTTTGCATCCTGCTCCTTTTCTGTTCTTGGCAGTAGGCCCTTTCAATACGGCAGTGCAAGCTTACAAGTCATTTAAATATATGCTTGTAAACTTGCGTTGCATTCGTGCAAATTATTTAAGGAGTACAGGCTCAATAGGAGACAGGGAGAAATGAATCTCACGGGAGCCCTTGCCTTTCAGAAGGTTCTCAGATACGTCTGGTAGACCTTTCCTTTCCATAGCTGTGAAGAACAGATCACAAGGTCGGCCTGCTGTTACAACTTCTGCTTAATTGCTCCATGAGAATGTGCTGCGTATCTAATCTAGAACATAAACTTTTATAAATAAAAATGGACTGAAAGACTGAGTACTTTTAGCTTATATTTTTCCTAGACCCTCTGTTCTGTTTTTTATCTTCATGGTAAAAAACCTGAAAGAATGGTGAAAATGGGTGTAATGGGACTTAGGGCCCAAATAAATTTCTCAGACTGTGAAGATGCTTCCCCAGAGTATGTAATTTCGCCACTGAACTCCTAATCTTATCAGCAAAATCAAATACACGACTACCTTTTCCTTTAGCACATGGCCCTGTCTACATCTGCTGCAATACCGCCCTTTTGAATATTAATTCCCACTTCACTACTTGAGCTGACAGAAGAATGTAGATGCAAGTGGAAAATAAATGTAGATTTCCAAAACCAAAATGAGTGAAAGGTTGCTAAGCTCCTGACAAGTTCCTTTCTCTAGTTCAGGAAATGTCCCTTCTTAAAATAACGAAGCAGTTGCCGCTTCTTGAAATAATGACCAGGCCCAGCCAACTCCCTGCAGACAAGCTCTTCACAAATATTTAAAAACCCAGTTCCCTGGTGTTTCAGGGAATTTCCTCATGCAATCTGATGCATGCGAGATTCAAATTTCATACTCTGCATTTACTATTTAATACAAGATTTATTCCAGGGTGGCTCTTTATAGAGTCTTTGCTTGTACTTTGCTTATAGAACAAGTTCAAACAACCTAGTTTCTGACATAAACAAACCAATAACATTATATACGACCTATTATATTTCAGTTAATAGAATTATATGTGAGATATTTGAGTTTTGTATCCTGCAGAAATGGGAAACAAAGCAGGACTTTTTCAAGATATAGGAATTAGTGCTAAGTTCTATATGCAATAAATACCAATGTTAAATTACACACCGTCGACACAAAGCAGCATTAACACAGAGTCATTCATCCATTCTGCAGCTTCTGGATGAATTTACCACAATGACTTCAGGTAGGTCTTCAGCTTTACTGATGACAAAAAAGACAAGAAATAGATAAAAACAAGCCACAAAGATTTCACCTTTTTGTTCTGAAGATTTATTCAAATAAAGTCAAACAACCAAATCACATGAGAACTTAAAATAACTGTGTTGCTAGCACAGTTTTGCATTTAGTATTTCCAGAAAAAGATCTTAAAATTTAAGAGAATGAAACCAGTATTTCTTAAAGTTGTATCAAAAAGTAAGAATAGTCTAGCGTAATGAATTTTCAAGTCAGGCTGGTTTGCTCTGAAGATTTGCTGTTCATCAGAGGCAAAAGTAAAGCGTGTCTGTCCATCTTTTTGAGTAAGAAGTGCTTCCCTTCCAAAGATCCAACTTAGTAAAAGTTTTGGTAATTCCCTCTTCCAAAATGACCTGGATGAGCTGAAAATTAGAAAAGAAACATGGCAATGTTTTGACTGTAGGGACTGCAAATCATTGTTTCTCCCTTCATTGAATAAAAAAAGTATTCTCTGTTCTTTCAAACCCGAGGTATTTTGCAGATACCCAACCTTATTTTACATCAATTAACCCAACAAGAGGAGCGACACATTGGGTTTCTTCATAGGGTGGCAAAGGTCTGATAGAAGGCCCCATGTGCTTTTTAATACATCATTCACACTTCATGTGTCTGCTGTAAACCCTTCTGTTCTTTTTCAAAACAAATAGTCTCAGTCCTCTCTCTCCCCTTGACGGGGACTGCTTTTTCATGCTGAAATCCTGACTTTCTTAAAATCAGCAGAAGTTTTGCCACTGAATTTAAGCTGGGTCAAGATTTTACTCTCATTTTTTGATCATTTTAGTTAACGATTTCACTTGATCTCTGTATCCTGGATTATACAGACCACTCAGATGAACACTCATCGTTCCTTCAAGTGAAGTAGTTAGAACTATGTCCTTATTTTTTCTCCCTTTTTAACAAATCAAAGTGTTTGATTTGCTCTCTGCCAACAGAGCTACGAACAGCATAACCTCCGTCTCTCCGCACCCTGATTTGCAGTATATTGTGTGTTACAGAGGTGTGGAATTGGATTAAAAGCTACAGCACGGTGCTCTGCAGATAAACGCACTGCAGGTGTGCAGTTTAATAGGATTTTAATTTGGTAACGAGTGAAAAAAGAGAGGAAGCCTAGAATGGGATTTTCTAGATGAAAAGATGCTATTCGTGCTGAGAGAAAGCAACTGCAAGCTCTGTGATAAGGAATAAAGATCGGGCCAATGCTCTCTGAGCTGCACTATTATAGATTATGGCTCACTCAGAGCATCTTCGTTCCTGCCACCGGTTTCAACAATTCTTAGTTCATACTACGTGCGTTTGGCTATATAGCATTTCATCTGCCACACTCCCCGTTAAGCCAGTGTGTTCAAATCTTGTATTGTCTCACTCCCCGCCCTCTACATTTTTTCATATAAAAATAATGTTCTCCTTGGGAGATGTCACCAACTTGGAATGTATTCTGTTTTCAAGATTATTATTAACAATTATTTCCATGCTTCAAATTAGATATAAAAAAAAAGATTCAGAAATGTGCTGCGCTGTTCAAAATAAATGGGAAAACATGGTCTCTTTGCCGAGGAGTGTAATTTATATTCAGCATGAACTGGGAATGGAGAACCAAAAACAGATGGGGAAGGAAGAAGAAGAATGAAGGTGACAACTAAAAGATCATGAAGGGATCTGCTAAGCCACAGATTGATGCTGCTGATATCAGGGCAAGGTTCGGAGATTCTTTTCTGATTTTTGTTACCAGTCCTCCCTCTCGTTTTTCCAGGGTTTCATAGCAAAACTGAGTTTTTAGCACTAATTTCAATGAGATGAGGGTGGAGGTGCGATGAACAGATTTTTTTCCCGAGTATAACAGGCTGTAGAGAAGGCATAGAAATGCCTTGTGGGACAAGATGAAAAAGATACGGAGGTTGGTGTTGTTGGCAGAGGACGGAGTGGAGGATGGGAACTGACGAAAGACACTGGGTCGCAGAGAGCTGCCGAGGCTGCACGAGGTAAAGGCGTTAAAAGGAAAAATTATGAAATATACCTGTGATGCACAGAGCGATATGTCAGGCAGCAGAAATACAGTGAAGGAAACGGCAGCATGGCTGGTGGATGCCGCTAAGGCTGCTGAGGGTTTAGATACCCCGCAGAACGGGTTGTGGCCAAAGGGGGATTAGTCAGGAGCAGGGACAGATGGTTGCTTGGGAACAGGATGATGATTTCTGGTGATCAAAAGTCACTGAACACAAATCCTTATGCAATGGGAATCTATTCAGAGGATCTACAGAGATGGCGATACAAAGTGATGGGTGATGGAGATGCTTTTGGCAGCTGTGTTTTTCAGCAACCTGTGGAAGTAGTATTGACACCCAAAAAGAAGGAGCCTGCGATGGCTGAGGTGGGAGCTACCACCCGTTTGAAGGACACAAGTAGGCAGAAGTGCTTACTGACTCTGTCACAGCTCCTGAAACTCTTCTGAGCTGCAGGTTCAAGTGTTTCAGCTCCCGCACAAACTGCAAACACTTGAACCACAGCATCAGCAGGCTCTTACTAGAATCTCTTTTTCATCCCACCATTATCAGCGTCTTGCATGTGGACTGGTAGAATCCATCAGCTGTTGGGATCTTTAATCTCTAAGCTCTTTCTACACTCTCCCAATCCTTCATTCAATTCCTTCCTCCATACCTTCTCTCAAGTCATCATACTCCCCATTTCACGTTTTATACCCTTCCTCTCTGACACCCCTCGTCCCTCACTCTAATCAGCCTTGCTCTGTTCTTGAGATCATGGACAAAATATGCAAAACTGAGAGACATATTTGTAGGCATATCACTTACACAGACAAAACCTGGGTCAAAGCCTTGCCTGCTGACACCCGCATAAGAGCATTGCAATGGGCATAGTGGGCCATCCAAAAGCCCATAAGGGCAGCACAGTGAAAGAGCATAGGAAGCAGGGCAGATATTGAATAAGATTTCTACTGGCTTATCTCCTAATTTCTGGCCATCAGTGGTTTAGAGATTTCTTGCTTGTAGCCTGCACCCAGCTCAGTTTGGTTTTTGACATTAAGGTGGTATGGCAGGATGGGTCATTATATTACATTTGAAAAATAATGAAAGCTGTCGAACATGTCCATCACATGTATAAATCATTCTTGGTTTGTTACCTTTGTGCCTTCTTTCCCCCCTTCAATTTTCATTGCTGAGCTAGTTTTAGCATATTTTATATTTAAAAAACAAAGGTCCACCAAGAGTCTTTGTAACTAGTAAAGATGTTTTTAAAATAGTCCATTTCCAGTCCCGCTCCTAGTTTACGGAAGCTGAATACATCTTGGGAGTAAAATAACTATAGCAGGATCACCCCAAAAATGTAATTTTGGTCGTGAATCTCGGTGCCATTAACATTTGTTCAGCACTGTTTTCTGGAAAACACAATGTTCTCTGAGATTTAAGACAAGTGCTGTTACTGCATGGAAGAGAAATCTGAAAACAGCTGAATGTCTAGTTCATCACTTGTATTAAGTACAGAGGCTTGATCCATGTTCCCGTATGTCCTTATATATTTAGCCTTGTTTC